TGTGTGTGTGTGTGTGCTTTGCGGTTGTTTCTGTTGTGGGTTCTGGACGGGTTTTGGTGTTTCGCGGCTGGTCTCGGGTGCTTTGTGGGCGGATTTTGGCGCTCGGTGACTGTTGTTTTTTTTTTTTAAGCGCCTCGGAGCCGGGTTTTCACCCCCTCCTTTAGTTTCGGCGCCTCGCGAACACTTTTTGGTTCCTTTTGCCGCCCCGAGCGCTTTCCCTGGGCTTCCCCCCGGCGCCCGAACCCCCTCGGGGCGGGGGGCGAGCCCGTCCCGGAGGGTCCCTGGAGCCCGGGGGCAGGAGGAGGAGGAGCGGGGAAGGGAGGGAGGGAGGGGACCGGGGAGAGAGGGAGGGCAGTGAGGCAGGAGGGAGGGCGGGGAGGCAGGAGGGAGGGCGATACCGCCGGAGGGAGGAGCGCCCCGCGAGTCCGCGGGCAGCGCTCGGCGGACTCCGATGGGCATCGGGCGGCCGCGCCGGGCTCGGGCACCGGGAGCGGCTCCGGGAGCGGCACCGGGAGCCCGGCGGTGAGAGCGGGGCCGAGGGCGCTCGGACGGGCCCGGGGGTCGCAGCGGGGCCCCCCCCGGGCCGGGGCGATGCCCCCCCGGAGCAGCGCGGACTGAGCCGGGCGGGCCGTGCATGGCCCAGCCATGGAGGTGGTGGACGAGACGGAGGCGCTGCAGCGCTTCTTCGAAGGTAACGGCGAGCCCGGGGAGTCCCGGGGGAGCCGGGCATCGCAGCCCGGGGGAGCCCGGGGGGAGCCGGGCATCGCATCCCGGGGGAGCCCGGGGGGTCTGGGCATCGCATCCCGGGGGTATCCGGGGGGTCCTGGCATCGCATCCCGGGGCTATCCGGGGGGTCCGGGCATCGCAGCCCGGGGGAGCCCGGGGGAGCCGGGCATCGCATCCCGGGGGATCCCGGGGGGTCCGGGCATCGCATCCCGGGGGATCCCGGGGGGTCCGGGCATCGCATCCCGGGGCTATGCGGGGGGTCCGGGCATCGCCACCCGCTCCCGGAGCGCCCCCGGACGAGGCGATGGTTGGGGTGGGAAGGGGGAGCTCCCAGCTCCGAGCTCAGCCGGGTCCTGCCCCGGCGCCTCCCGCCGGCCCGGGTGGCTCCTGGGACGTTTCCAGGGATGGGGCTGCCGCGGCTTCCCTGGGAAATCCATCCCAGCGCCTCGCCGCCCTCGCCGAGAGGAATTTTTTCCCGGTTTCCCACCTAAACCCAGCCCGTGTCAGTGGGAAGCCGTTCCCCCTTGTCCTGTCACTCCAGATCCTTCTCCAAAGTCCCTCTCTGTCTGTCCTGGAGCCCCTTTAGGCTCCCTGGGTTCTTCCCTTCTCCAGGCTGGACATTCCCAGCTCTCCCAGCCTGTGTCCGTGGGGAAAACCTGCCCTCAGAGCCTCGTCTGGTGCCGGGCTGGCACCAGATCCCTGTCCCTGGGCACAATCCAGGTGCAGCTGTGCATCCTGCAGTGGGTGCTGAGCTGGATAGCCTGGCATTCCAAGGGCTGGGAATTGTGTTGTGCCGTGCCTTAGGTTCCCACCAGCACCCCACAGGGACCTTGGCATATCCCTGCCCGCCCCTGGAGCAGGCACAGGCTCCTGACAGTGTCCCGAGGATCCCAGATGTGTGTCCAGCTGTGGATCCCAGCCCAGCCAGAGCCTGGATCCCTTTAGACACCCCTTGGCCGTGGATCCCTCTCCTTCCCATCAGGGCAAACCACAGGTGGAAAAGTGCTTGGGAAGGGGATTTGGCCTCTCTTGGAGCCAGGATGAGACGTGGATGCTCGTGGAAGCTGAGGGGCTGTTGGGGTGAACTGGGAGTGCGTTGGGACCCCCCAGTTCCGCTGGTTTTGCTCCCTGGGCTCCGTGTTCCCTTCCCTGCTCTGGATTTGCTGGCACACTCCGCTCTTCCTTGTTGCCTGGGTCGTTCCTTCCCTTCCTCCCTCGTTGTCTTTGTCTCCCTTCCTTGTTCTCCGCCGGCTCCTTTGCTTTGGTTTGGGCTGCCACGGGCTGTGTCCCTTGGGATGAGCCCCTGGC